CAATAACCCCTGACCCTCGCCCAAAACAGTCACACGACTTCCAGACCACAGCTGGTACATAGGACACAGGTGCAGGGCAAGGGCAGAGAACTTTGGTGCGAGCCATAACTCACCCATGTGGCCATGGTTTGAGGTACTCAACCACAAGCTAAACTTAGCAAAACTAGAACATGAAAGAAAATTACTTTTATAAAAGTTACATATGGGCTTATTTTCAAGATGTTAGAGCTTATCAGTGTCAGTTCTGCCAGGCTTCAGACACCTGCAAAGTTGACGGCTCAGACTCTATTCTTTAGGATTTAGGAAATCAACAGAAGTTAAACTTCAGGCAATAGCCATGCAAATAATTCACTATTGTGGTGCAAATAGAGAAATCAAGTTTCATAAACGGTTACTATTTCCTTCCTTCCTCAGGGCTGTGGATCTTTCAATTTATTTGGTCTTTTTAAAAAAAAGTACAAGTGACATTGTTTGAAGATTTATACTTGCAAAATCAATGTATCTGTCAGCTACTACACAAACTTATTTGGGTTTGAAATATTTACAACACGGCAGAAAAGCAAAGTATGAGTGGAGTTCTTTGTGCTGTCCTGTTCAGAAAATGTTCTTTTTTGTTTTCTCCATTTGCAGAAAGCCAGAAACAATAAGCAGTAATCATATTATTTCTTTTTAAACATATACCTTTAAATAGAACTGTTAAGGAAAAAATAATAATCCAGCGTCTGATAAAAATACTTGATCATGGTCATGAACAGACATATTTATGTACTTTTAAGTCACAACTATCCTCTCTACTGTAGTAATTTGGTTCATAGAAATAAAGTATTTTTGAAGCAATCCCTCAGACTGTTCCCACTTGTCACATGTTTTTTGGTTTCTCAAAGCTGTGCTTTGTTTCTCAAAGGTGTGCACAAAATAGATTTCTGTTGGATGAAACCAAACCAGGAGCACTCCAACACTCAGTGGAGTAGTGGGTCCTAAATCCTTGTGTGGACTTGCCACTACAAGGACCTCCAGCATGTAGCTAAGGTACACACATTCCCAGAAGGCTCTCAGACCCTGAAGAGTGGCCTCAAAGCCTGAAGGAAGTTGCAGGGTCAAGTACTGCAAATACCTTCCTATTTGTTGTCAACTGCCAGTTCTCAACTTCTTTAGCCATGTCTGCCTACCTGCTGTTTTATCCTCATTCATCTAGACTTCAGATCTGAAGCCTTTCCCTTCTAATTTTTCCCACCTTCTGTTGTTGAATCTGTCTTTCATTATCCTCCTTTTTGTATTATCTCTTTTCCACACTTCTACTCTCCTCTACCACACTGGAATCTCCCTCTTCCACCTGCCAAAAAATTCAGATAACTGCAGCCCTAAAGATATGGCATTTCCCATGAACCTGTGCCATGAGAGAAAGAGGAATTTCTCAAGGGGAAAGATAAGCCAGTGGCAATTTCAGAAGGTCGAGAAACTCCCACCAGCTGTCACCTACAAGCAGTGAACAAGTCTGCCTTAAAAAGTCAAAGATGAAGACAGTTTTCTTGTAGACCAGTGGCTATAATCAGCAGTCAGTCCTGTGCCCAGTACAGGGAGCTTGAGAAAGTCTTTGGGAAGGAGTACGCCACTAAGCCAGCATCTGCCTTGGATTTCCACACCATGAATCAAAATGTCCATATGCAGGAGAGTCTGGAGGAATGTGAACCCTTGGACATCAGTCTTGACACCCTTGATCCAAGTCCCACAGCAGATTCCTGGGAGGGCACAACCAGGGACACCTCTTCAGCTCCCTCCCCTACAGAATGCATGCCAGCCACCTCCTCTGCCATCAGCCCCAGTTCTGACCCCAGCAGGTGTGTACCCAATTTCTACAATATCTCTGAAGCAGAAGGATGGGGACAGGGGACCTGCAAGATTTCCAGTGGGATTACAGCACTGGCCTCAAAACTGTGACGAAGGGATGGATTTTGCCAGGCTGCCCATGCGGACTCTTTTGTTTTGAAATCATGACCCAGGCCCATTCTGTACAAGTGCCTGGCTCATTGCCAGGGCCTGGGTGAGCTGTACATGGGGACATGTCATGATAACGCAGTTATCTGAGGCCAGACAAGTGAGCCCCTGCCCCAGCTTCTCCTCCTCACTGAGCAGAGCCAGCTGGAGGCCCATGACAGTCACACATTTTGTCATTTGAATGCTTTTACCAGCCTGTTTCTGTTCACTGCACCACTTCTTCTCATAGCAATGCTGAGCCTTTCCTTCAAGCCTTGCCTGGTGTCTGCTTTGCACGTTTCCCCCTTGGGCAGGGGCATAGCAAGAGTGGGGCCCATGGGCACTGATGGCTCATTGCAGGGGGGAGCAGAGGAAAAGCTCTTGCCCCCAACTACAGAAAAGGTGGGGAGGAAGGCTGCCTTATCCAACGGCTCAAACAAGATCTTTCTCAGTGCATTGCAAACTCTCCTAGGAAAAGAGAGCTTGAAATGTTACCATTACAGCATTGGATAAGCCCCCTGACTGACCTAGTTCAATAAGTAATCGCAGATAAGAGTAATAGCAAATATCCATGAGTATGCCTTGTGACTCAGCTGCTACTCGGACAATTGGAGGTGGCTGAACACACATTATTGGAAATTTTTCAGGCAGTGATGATCGTTTAGCACATCTCCATAAAGCTGTTAGCTCTGACACAATTAAAATGTTAACATTGTTATGTTAAATCATTCTTTCCGCTACAACAGCTCAAATCTATTACTTCACTGAAGTCCTGCTGTCTTCCTTTTTAATTACATGTTTAAGCTATCAACAGCTTACTGGTAGCAGAAACTGAGAAAACGGCTAAAAATCTTTTGAACTCAGAGGATGCCAGCTTAAGAAGATAGCAGCCAGCAGTTTACCTACCAGCTTCTCTGATCACTTCTGTGTTTGCTTGTTGTCTGGAGAAGTGGATGTAAACACTCACTGGCAATGCTACTCATCCTGCTCTGAGAAACCTTCCAGTGTGACTGTGCTACAACTATAAACAACCCAGCCAGAAGACACATAACTGTGAGGCAATATTATGATTTTTGTTTCACTCCAGACTGATGAGAAATCAGGTGCCTTTTATTTTCAGTTAGATCTAAATCTGAGATATGGGAAAAGGGAAGAGGGTTGTTATCATTTCTGTCATTTCAAGAATATTAAAATGGGCCTCGGCCCCCTTTTTCTTACCTTCCTAATTTTGTGAGTGTGAAGAATAGCTCATCGTATACTAGCCAGCCTCTACGCATCCCGCGCCCCTCATGAAAATGCATTTTTTTTCTGCATACAGCCCCCCACCTACAGCGCATTCGCCCTTCGATGGGGGTATTATGCATTGCCTCAGCAACCTCTTCTGTATGCACTGCCCATATCCACGGGAAGTCCGCTCCCTCTGTACCCTTTTCTTTCTCATCTTTTGTTGAAGCCTGCATTTATTTTCAAAGACTCCTCTACTCAGCCTTTTATGCGTGCTTTAAACCCTTTTATTCCCCTGAGCATTCCCAGCTATCCATTCTTTCCCTGGGAGGGAGGTGGATCTTCCTTGAAGTCATTATTCAGGGAAAGGAGACTAGGCCCCATTATTTGAGAGTCTGCGTTTGATTTCACAAGTCATTTAAATGAATAGCACTTATGCAAAACTAGCGAATGCTTGTTAAAATGGTTAATGTGATCATTTCTTTTCAGTGGTAGTGGGAGAACGTAAAAATCACAAAATGAGTAACTGAGCAAAATGGTGAGAATTATGTTTTGTCCTGCTTTCTTTGAAGTAATATTAAACGACAACATAAATCCTATAGAAATACTTACGGGGTATCACTATATCTACCAAGAGTTCATTATGTCTTACATTATTAGAATGAAAGGCAAAGAAATGAATGATTAGGTTATGATGTTAAAGCTGAACCATTTTTATTTAAGCAATTGCATTACTCGCAGCGCAGTATGCCAGAAAAATGACCGGTTTGGTGACAGATCTCCTTTTCTATTACAAAGCCCCTTTTAAAGTAATTAGCAACAGGACAGAAAGTAAGAGACAAAATAGCTTTAAATGTAGGAAAACTGAGAAACTATTCTGATTATCTAAATTAGCCTAAAGCGCTTGCTCATATGACAAAATCACTGCAATGATTTGTCTAACTTAGTGGTCTTCCCGCAGGGGAGGTTGCACACTTAGAAAGGATAGCAGTTAGGGTGGGACGTACAGTGACAAAGCTCTTCAAACAAAATCTCACCATGATCTGCCTCACCCATGCATTGCTTCAGTCAATATCAGAAGTTTTGTACTTTATTGAAGAAAAAAAAAAAAAAAGTCTTTTCTTAAAAATAACACTGTCTATCATCAACTTATTAAAAACATAAGCAGCAACTTTCTGATCAGAGTTCAGTTAAAAGACTTTGAAAAATGCTATGTTGGCTTCAAGTGAACAACAGGCTAAGTTTCTGTAGCCAAACATGTGGGTAAGATTTCCACTGGCTTTATCAGGAATTGCACCTGTGATCATTTAATGAAGGGAAAAATATGGCCATGAAAATAAAGACTCCGAAGTCATGTCTGACAGCATCTCCAAATAAGCTTGTGACAACCGCTGGAGGTATGGCTGGAAACCAGACAACTGAATTCTGCCAAGCATGTGTACTGATGACAGGCATCCTATGCTTGGAGACCTCGTTCAGGCATAAATATATTCCTTCATAGCAGAGCCTTAGTCTTAACACTGTCATTTCCTACAGGCTCAGCATTTGTTAGCCTCCAGCCCCGGTCCCAAGCTTGCCTCCCTTCTCCCAAATAGAGGCAAGGTGCAGCAGTAACTCACCCCTTCTCCCTGGCCAAGGACTCCGCTCCAGCGCATCCCCAGCAGCGTTACAGCCCATGCTGTGCCAAACCCTTGGCCATCACCTTTCACAGCTCCCATCCTAAGGGTGTCTCAGGGCCAGCTTCTGTGCAGAAATCCCCAGCTGCCAAAAGCCCCCTAGAAGCCATGGACAGAAAGTACAATGTTAATTTGAGGACTAAAAGAAAACATTTCTGATTGCAATTGGCCATCAGACTGAATTGCCATAAGTCACTCCCTTTACTAGCACAAACTTGAGTTGAAGAGGGACTGTTTCTCCTTGGTGGCTAATCCTTCAATAGCGTATTCTCTATGTCGATAACTTTATTATACTCTTGACAAGAACAGAATCATATTTCATGCATCTCTTTTGAGCAGTGATCAGAAAGCACATTGAAACCGGCTGTTGTTAAGCTTGCTTGCGCTTATGTGCACTATTGCCTGTTTGCTAACACTTTCCAGACCAGAGAGCAATGACCCTTTGGTTTATGTTAAACTTTGAGCTTGTCAAAGTTGTGGCAGTGGGCCCATCTTTATCAGAGATGTGTTTGCTTCTTGGTTGCAATTCCTTAGCTCTTTCTAACGTGAGCTGGACATAGTGTCTGAAATGAAAGGTCACTCTTACTGAAGTCGATGCAAAGCAGTGATTCCAGCAACATAAGTATTCTTCAGGATGCGTAGCACCTACCATACACTGAAAAACACCAGTCTCTCATATGCAAGCAGATCTTGGCATGCATAACTTGTAGTATTTATGCTCTAGACTCCATCAGTTTTCCATATTAAAATGTGATGATTTCATATTCGCTCTGTGGCAGCATATGCTGATCGTCCTGGAAAATATTAATCATTTTCCTACGGTTTCAATTCTACAGAGTCATTGTTCTGCCATTTCTGTCTTCACTCTGGGTGAAGGCTTACCCACTGGTGTCATTGTAAGATGACAGACTTTTACTGGGTCCTTACTAAAGGTATAAAGCATGTGTTTAAAGAATTAAGTTAATAAAGAAATAGGAACTCAGTGGCAGGAAATAGCATTATAGACTTTAGAACACCAGGAGCATAATTAGTACTGTGGCATAGTGATGAAAGAAGGCAATAAAATAATTTTACTT